TCATTTTCTGGCGACTTTTCTGGTGTTTTCGTTTTTGTCCAAGTTCTGAACTATTGAATCCCATTTTCATCCACTACGCAATAGAAAATTGGGTATTTAATTTTAAAGCTCATTACTTCGATTTTGGCCTTGTTTTTACTTATGATGCATATCAAGGTGAATATGGGTATTGTTGGATGATGGATGGAATATTTTGACTTGATCGTTTTTATTGCTTGCAAGAATGATTTTAGGTCTTAATTGCTTGCCTATCAAGATTAAGGGTTGAGACTCTATTTAGAGCTTAATCACTTAGGGTTAGAAGGTTAGGATTAATTTCCTAGTGCTTAATGCTTGCATATTTCTCTTCATTATTTGTTTTTCGTTTTGTGTCGATGACATAGATACTCTGTTAGTTTAATTTCGATATTCGCTCGTTCGAGGTCTAAATCAAATAAGAAACATAGGCAGCAGTGAGATGAGATCCTATGCTAATGAACAATAGATAAAAAAAACCCTCCGACAATGATAAAAAACTGTCAAAGACCTAGAATACCAATCCCAGAGTCACCCAGTTAGATAGAACAAAACTCGAGCCACTCCTTCGAAGCTTGTCTGACAAGATTGAGCTCAGGGAGTTGTTGTTTTTGAAAAACCCACAGGTTGCGGAATTTCCACAGCCACCATAATAAGTAGGTCGAAAGTTGAATGCGGCTGTCATCAATTGCCTTCACTCCAACTGAACAAATAGAACCCCACCATTCCTTGAAAGTGGCAGCAGACCAAGAGAAACAATCACAGCTTACAAGAGTTGTGTGCCACACTTTTTGAGCCTTTGAGCATTGCCACAACACATGCTCAATTGTTTCCACAGCATCTCCACAAACTTGACAGATAGGATCAATAGGCATACCTCTCTTAAGCAAATTAGAACTAACTGGAAGAGAACCTGTGATGCATTTCCAAAGAAAATGCTTAATTTTCCCCTCGATTCTTAACTTCCAAGTTCTATTTCTGATAATCAAATCCATGGCCTTAGAAGAACTACCCTCAGGCCTATCCATGATGGCTATCTTGTCACTAATGAGGCTTGAATAAGCAGAAGCCACAGAAAACAAACCTTTGCTAGCACCATGCCAGTTCCAGCTATCTACCATGTGAGGGTGGAGATTAAGATGCAAAATAGCTTCAGCCACTGGTCTTTCAAAGAGTTGGAAAATGAGAGCAGAGTTCCATCTTTGGCCATTACTATGAAGCAGCTCATGAACCATAGTGCAGTGAGTCTGGATTCCCATCTTGAAGTTAACTCTCTGCAGCCCCAAAGAAGGTATCCAAGGATATCCCAGGATGGCTGTGTCCCTGACACTAAGAACTCTGACTTGTACTAGCTTAACAAATTTGATTTTCACCCCCATCCAGGAGTTCCATAGCCAAGAACCCCCAAATTTCCTTTTAGCATCACAAAAGCCAGTGTCAGGAAAATACCTTGATTTTAACAATCTACTAACCAGAAGATCAGGCATAGTGAGAAGTCTCCAGAGCTGCTTCATAATCAAGGCATCATTGAAGAGCCTGATGTCTTGGAAACAGACCACCCTGAGATTTGGGAAGAGTCACAGAATTCCATGCCACCCAGTGCAGACCCTGAGAGTGATCACCATTCTTGCTCCACCAGAAATTGGCACATAAGCTGGACACTTCTTTGCAGATGAAAATGGGGAGTTTGAAGCATCCCATCACAAAGACAAGAAGAGCATTAAGGATGGATTTGATCATCACTTCCTTGCCAGCTGGGTAGAGGAACCTGTTTTCCCAACTATTAATTCTGCCTCTCACTGCATCCAAGATGACAGAAAAAGCCTGGATTTTGGAGCTGCCAATTCCCAGGGGCAAATCCAGGTACTTGGTGGAGCTGTGTTCAGAGATGTTATTCAATTGGTGTAACCTATTCAAATCTCAAATTTTAAAACCAATCTGGCAAGTTTTTTTTTTAAAAAATATTCCTTAATAATTTGGATAAGATTTCAAATTAATTCTTAAATATATTTTTCTAAAAAGACTCTTAAAATAGTATGTAATAAATCCTTTTCTAAATTTTTAAATTACTATTTTTAGTAAATAGTAATTCTTTTTATATATATATAGATTTCTTGAATCTATCATTATATATAAAAATAATCTTTTTACAAATTTAATTAGAAACAATTTTCTGCTAAAACATTAATTACATACTAAAAATAGCATAATTAGAAAAGTTTTAACTAAATGCGCATTTGTTTGGAAACAATCCCCATTTATATGGATTCTTCCAATTAATTTTATTAGATAAAAAATACGAAATATTTTTCAAAAATTTTGTCCATAATTATCTCAATACAACACCTTTTAAAATTTTGGAAAGAATCTCTATTTACATGGATTCTTTCAATTATTTTTAGTATATATAAAAAAAAGCGAGATGGGATGTTTGATTTCTAAAAAAATCAATTGCAATAATTTGGTAATTATTAGTAAATATTTAGTGCGAATAATTTATATGCATATGTAATTTTTTATTTAAGTTAATGTGAAATCAATAATTGATCTAAATCTATTGATTAAAATTTTTAAAATTTTTCAATAAATTATTTTATTTCTACTTATTTTATTTTTATTTTTATTGATATGTATATATATATATATATATAAGGTTTTATTATTTCTTCAATAGTAACTATTTGCCGCCAAAAAAATGTTTACTAATTCTGGAAACTATTTAAACACTTTATGGTATGTTTTAAAAATACAATTTAGGTAATTGCGGCTAATTTATTAATGTAATAAATCACATAAATATTTCTTTTGTATCTCAAGATATTCATATCATATATAAGTATATATATATATATATATATATATATATATATATATTATATTTGTACCTAAAATATCGAGATCTATCACATTCTTAACAAACAATAGATTTACTTTCATATTTTTAAATTAATCACATCAATAAATAATATTAATATGAATTAAATATTTATCATCTATCTATACTTATATAATAAGCCATCTCATTTACCAAAATTAGTAGGTAGAAAAGTCAAAGGACAATTAATGTATGTTATTTCCATCAATAAATTTATTTAATTACTTATTACTTATTTTATTTAATACATTCTATTACTTACTACTTGTTGTGTATAAATTATTTTTATTTTACCGAGCGCCGAATCAAATGATTCGTTTCCCGGGTCGTTCTCTTGAGGAAGACTATTCGAAATTTAGAATTGATATTGATAGCACATAAAAACAAAATAAATCCTAAACATTCTAATCAAGATAGATTGATAATGATTCATTATTAACTATAAATAATATAAAACAACTAAAATGATAAATGAAGAAAATGCGAAAGATACTAGGGAATCGGGAATAAATGTTTTGAATCGAAATGCAATTATCGACTTGTGATTGTTCGGTTAAAGAATTCGAGTCACCTACACGTTTAGAGATTTATCCTCAATACCTTTTGGATTATGAGAATAAATATAAACGGTAAATTAACGAGTTGTTTAACACATAGACAATACCTTTCGGATTATGTCTATTTTGTATGAGTCTCGATCGAGTGACCTCTTCCCTTTCGGTTCAAGAGTCAATTAAAATAGACTATAGGATTTTTAGTCGTCTAGTCTATTCGGATAGTGATCGTCACAACAGAACACATCATATTCAATTTGAAAACAAGTTTAACATTGAAGTGTCACTCTTCAATACTTAGAAATCAATTGCAAGGTTGAATTGTCACTTTTCAACAATATGTCATTCCAAAGTAAAAATCAAAAACCGAATTTAGAATTAACTCATACAAAGTGAACAATCGACGAGTACGATAATCACATACGAAATAAAATATTCATCCATATCCCTAGCAAATGATTTAGCTATTCATATAAAAAAAATAAACTCAACATAAGATTCATTGCAAATTATCATTACAAGAAAAACAACTTACAAGTAATCCAAGTCGAGAAATAAAGTTGATACAAACGCCAAACCGAAAATAAATGAACGCCACACCGGAACAAGTACAAGCCTTGGAGAACACCTCCAAAATTCACAACCAAAAGAGAAACTAATCTAAGACAACATATAAGAATGATGGTAGTGGTGAGGATGATAATATTTTGGATTGTGAGGGATCGATGTTGGTTAGATGTCGGAGCTATTTATAGATATATCATCAACCATAATCCACCAACATCAACCACAATTTACCAACAATAACCACAATTCAACTAAAAATCAACCATAATTCATCTACCAAAGAAAGAATGGAAGAAAAGGTGAAAGAAGATAGGAAATTTGAGATAAAAGATGGAATTTTCGGAGCAAAACCGAAAGTGATTTTTCCGCGCGCATTCGCGCACGTCTCGGGCAGCTCTGCTTCTCGGGCTTGTTTTGGGCTCGTCCGAACTCGAAATTGAATTCCGTTTTTTCCTACGCGTAGCTAATGAACCCCTCTATCCAATGATGCTTGTAAACCACACTTTTGCCTAGAGTAAAAATTATGTGGAATTTTCAACCTTTAAAGGGTCAGTAACTTGCGCGGCTTCGCGTTTTTGTTCTGTCCGGATTCATCCAAACTCGAAATCAACTTCCTTTTTTTTTCTATGTGTAGCCAACGAGTCCATCTACATAACCATGATTGCCCGGTC